GGGTACCGGGCCGGGCCCAAACAGTACCGGTTTCGGGCTGGTCGACCCGACCCGAGTCCATGACTTGTCTTGAATGAGAGACTTTGAGAATTTCATAAGTTTTTTTTCTTCTCATAAAAAAAACTTTGGTGGAAAAACGTTAGTGGTACTGGGTACGTAGATGAGTGCTTTCAAGATCCACTCAATGAAACAAGTGTATTATTTTCTTGTACAAAGAAACTAAACATCCATATGTTGTTAATCAACACTTTTTGTGCTTTAGGACTTGTTGCTTCAAAATATGCATTTAAACACATGTTGGGAGATTTCTGTTTGCTTTATGATATGTTTGTTTACTTTGTATTTGAACACATGGTTAGACAGTGACAGTGGCGGAACCAGGCCGGGGATCTCGGAGGGGCACATAATGGGAAAGGGAAGGTCTGTGGCAACTCGACAACGGGGCCATCTGATGCGGTTAAAGAATTTTGGTCTTCGACAAAGCGGGCAGATGTCAAAAGAGGTTTCGAAGAGGTTGCAACACTGGATATATATGTAGTATTATTTTTTAAATTAAAAAGTAAGGATCCATAAAACATATTTAATTTAATGATGTGGGATAAATATTAAAGTGAGGAGTGAATACTAAAATTACACATAAAATTATGGAGGGGATTGGAGAGGTGATATTATTTTAATTATCCTTCCATTTAAAATATTGGAAATCAGATGAGAAAAATAAAGGATGATCCATTATTAATTTGCCATAACAATTAAATTGGTTATGGAACACTTCACGCCATAGTATATATGTCGGAGCTTAGGCCATGTTTAAGTAATGGATGTGGTCCGTTATTTAATCCATTCTAATGTAAAAGTCCTTGGTCAAATTAAGTCGTCTCCTTCAATGACGGACTAACAAGAGCTTCATCAATAGCATCCTTTGGACGAAGCCAAAATTTTGTCAAATGTCAATATTTTTAGATTATGTTTATCCACATCAAATAATACACATTAAAAGAATTTAATAAAAGTTCTCACATGCACAATGTTTACATCTTCAATTATTTATCTATGTGTCAATTATTAATATAGGGAGTAGTTGAATCCAAAACAAAAGGCATCCATATTCTTCCAACCCATACCCCATATGATTTAAATGCCGCATCTGATCAAAGTAATTGCTTCTGCAAATCTGTATTTTTAATTTTTGGGTCAGGTATAGCCCCCCAAAAAATCTTTTGTTTCTACTTCTGATCTCTGTACTTCTGGAAGGGAATGCCCTTTCTGAAGAGGTTTTTGGCCTAGTCCCCCTCTTCTGCTGTATCATTTCTCATTTTCTTAATAAAACCCGGCAAACGTTCCCCGGCGTTTGCCCCACTGATTTTGGTGGTTTACCTTCCGGGTTAAAAAAAAATCTGGAGCCATCGTCGATCCATATATTCTTCTAACCGAGAAGTAAAATTTGCACCGATCCTAAAAGTTTGAGAAACGGTGCCTCTTTAACCCGGAATTATAACCACATTTTTTGGGTGTTGTTCAATCTTATAGTCCTCCCATATCTATATAGTAATATACTATCGCATATATTTATACAAATATATAGTCAATGAGCTGCTCTGCCGCAGGGGAACAAACCCCTCCAAGCCTCCAAGTGGCTCTGCCACTGATTACCCCACCCTCGTCATTGACCACCATTGTCATGACGATCCCCACCTCCACCGGTGACCAGTATTGGTTTGTCAATGTTGTCATATGCCACTGTCGTTGGTTCCCCATATGTTGCGTATTGCGGTCATGTCTGTTGCCTCGATTAGTCCTAGACTCGGGCCGGGTCGGGTCCGGGCCTAGGCCCGGGTGGGCCGCCGGTTCTGAATAGGTGGGCCCGAGACCGGCCCGGGTAGCGAACGGGTCCGGGCCGGGCCTCGGGTCATTTTTTTCCCTTTTTCTAATTAACCCCCCCCCCCCCACCCCAACCCCCCAAACGACCCCAAATGGCCCAAAATACCTAGCCCAACCCGAAAAGTTAAAAAAAATCGAAAAAAAATAATTAAAAAACCGGCCGGGCCGGTTCGGCTTTTGGGTGACCCGAGCCCGCACCGGGAACCCCCCGGGCCGGGCCTACCCGGACTGGTCATTGGCCGAGCCACCGGGCCGGTCCGGTTCAGCACAGTACCGGTCCCGGGCCGGTTCCGGGTCGGACCACCCGGCCCGAGTCCAGGACTAGCCTCGATCATTGGTTGTTGCCTTTATCAACCACTGAAACTCTACCTTCTTGCCGCCACCAATGTTGGCCCGCACCACAACCGGTCGTAACGTTTGAAGAGCTCCCACTATTGTTATTCGACACTTCTATTTGTGTTAGAGTAACCGAGGGCATGATATAATACTTGTGAATTGTGATGTATGTATTAGTATTTCACTCGTGCAATGCATAAAAAGACATATTTTCTAATTATTATATTGGGTGCATGCTTAAAAATCAAACAAAATAAAAATGAAAATATAGGAAGTCTTCGTAACATACAGAGTACAATATCTATGAAGTAACACAAACCCTTGGAGGTTTTTGAATGCCTCTTTGTACACAACATTTGTGGTCTTATTAATTTGCATGCCATCATTATTGACAATAAGAAATTTGAGATCACTAGGATTAGTTACTCTTGAAAAGTTTTTTACAATTGTTTGTGACTTGAAAAGTTGTTTACAATTGTTTGTGACTAACACTGACTTTTTAGTAGCAGACCAACTTGGGAAAGAGATTGACCTTGACGTTTATATTTAGTCATTGCATAAGTTGGTGTAATCGGGAATTGTTGTCTCTAAACTGGATACTATTTAAGTACTTTGGTGTGTGCAACTCGGCCATTAAATTTATAGATGGATCTAAACACATACACCGTCTAAATTCAAATACATTTTTCAAGGTTTAAATGTGTCTTTCTCACACGGAGTATAATTCATTTAGAGGCCACAACCTTGGATATGGTCGAGTTCTAGACCATGGCCTTCATTATAAACTCAATTTTCTGTGTTGAGATTCCATCTCTTACAATTGATCCTTCATGTTGATATGGATTTCCTAACATAAAAAACTTCACAAAGAAATGTGAATTGCTGATGGTTGAGTTTTTACAATTCTCACTGTCTCGAATATCGTACGATAAACATGAAGTTAAGATATGATGATAGTTTAATTAAACAATCTAAAAATGTGTGTTACTATCCCAATTTGCTACTGGAATTCAATTAAGAAGTTAAAGTTAGAGTAAACGTAAAATTGAACTGTGGAAAGCAAAAGGAAATTCGGGGATAAATGATAACCAAAGATCCAAAACATAATCACACACAAGGCACAAGGATAATATAAAAGTACACTTTCAACTATTGAAGTCTAATCTCATCTTGTATAGACTATTTATTTAAGTCTGATCTGGTCGTCTGGATTGGAATGGTGAGGGATCGAAACCAATCCAATTAATAACCTCCTAACCATCACCTTGTAAGAATTACACAAAGCAACCGAGTGAAATCAAGAATGCACTATGATTCCCCTAGTTTTTATTGACGTGGCCTGAACATGCACGCTAAGATCATTCAAAGTAAATAAGTTGGGCATATCAACAAACACTTGATCTGGACATTTTGCATTAACACGCCTCTTTGGGGCCTGCCCTTTAACACTATAGTTGGGCACTACTACTTGGGCTTGGGCATATCTCCAAATAAGTTTTTTTCCCCAAATAATGGAGAGAATTCCCTAAATAGGAGTAAAAATGTTTTGAAATTCCAAAATAGAACTATCATGATTTTTATTCCCTGAATAGGAGTAAATTTCTTCCAAGTTTGACATCACTGGGCTTTAAATATGAGATTTTTTTTCCAAACTTGGCAGATTACTCTTATTCCATGATAGTCTTAATTTGGAATTTCAAAACGTTTTTATTCCTATTTAGGACAATTTCTGAATATGATGCAAGAAAACTATTACATACGGAGTATATTTTTTATCAAGGAAGATGAAATGATGAAATAAGTTGAGCACTCTCTTAATACTATCGTATTAATTAGGGGCATCAAAAGATTTACATTTATTATCTTTGCTAAAAATGGAAATGTTGCAATTAATATGAAATTATGCAAGTGTTGCAACTCATTGAGAACGGAAGAAGTATAATGCAAAGAAATTGTGATTAAAGATATTTTTTAATTTGAAATGTGAAAGAAAAAATGCATTTTACGATGTTGGATTGATCATAAAATCAACTGATGCTGTCAATGATAAGATTATTTTTAGTAAATAAGTTTTAAATATTTAAAAACTACATTCAAAGTTTTCTAAAGTCACAAAAAACTAAAAGAAAAACTAAAATTTCATAAAATTTGAATGTATAATGTATAAAGTAAAATATTAAAAAAGATTTACATTAATCAAAAAATAATGAACGAGAAACTTTATCTAGGACGGGGTGTACTACATAAAATATGTCAACTCCACACAAATATAGCAACTAAAAAAAGTTCATATGAAGATCTAAAGAGAGTAATATTTAGTGAGAGAAAGACCTAACACTTGAGCGTCAAGTCCTATTTATACTCCTGGATTAAAAAAAATTACCTCCCATTTGGAACTTCAAAAATGTTTGGTGTACACGTTTTTCGTAGGCAACTTATGTATTTACACAGGAATTTTTTTACATACAAACAACTTTGTCTAGATAAACACATAAAATGTATACAAAAATGGTGTACACGAATCATTTTTGTTTGAGCTTAGCCCAGCCTTTCCAAAGTCTTCAGCACATGATTTCTCAGTCCCATTTGGTTATTTAGAATTATAATTCGAATCATTTTTTTGTCAATGTAACACGAATCATTAAAGCATAGCAGAATTGTTAGTTGATAAATAACCATTAATATTGGTGTCTTCCTAATACAACGAACGACCACAAAATAAGGTGTAGTATTATACATTTGTATTATTTCTTAAATATAAAAATAAATATATACGTAATAATCACGACTTTTAATATGATTTGGTTCTCCTATCTCCCCCGGCAATCATTTCCTCTCCGTTTGCCGGGAAATGGCCAAAACAAAACCACTTATGAGAATATCCATACTAACGTTGTTGTTATGTTCCTTCCAATGTCACAAAATTTTAGCAGACAAAGAATCATTGGATACTGATCGAGAAATTAAGAGTAGCATTGGAGCGTTGGATAAGAAAGATACGGCGTCGTTCCCCTTATCGCTGCAAGCCCGGAGCCTCAGAGGCTCCTTTTCGTCTCATGGGGGGAGCCGGAGCAGGCGGCGGCGCCGGCGGAGGAAGAGGAGGAGGGACCGTACACAATCGTCAAGTTCCGGCGGTTCTAGATTAGGCCTTGAATGCGTAGCCTCGACAGCGTTTATGGTTTTGCTTTTCTTTTTGGCATTATAGGCTATTCGGCTTCTTCATTTCTAAGATTTCTTGAAGGCAAATGAGGGATTAAACGGGCATTTTACCCCTTCCATGCGGGTGAAACTCGAAAGAGAAATTACTTCACGTTTTGTAAATGTAAAAATGTAAAATCGGTTATCTGTCTTTTACTGTATAAATTTACAGTAAAAGCATACGAGTATTTCGTTAAAATTCATGTTACATTTCATTTTATATTCCAAGAAACAGAGATTTGTTTTGTTTGAAATTTATTCAGAAATATTTCAACTTCTTAAACCCAAATAATATTTTCATGAATGTGGAATTTTAAAAATTTTAAGAAAACCTCATTTTGGTCCAACCTTGACTTCTCCATCCAGTTAGTTGTGTATGTGTGTATATGATGGCTTCATACTTCATAGTATGGACAATTCTTTAACTTTAAGGAAGCGCAACTCACAATGTAGAGAATTGGTTCAAGACATCTACTTTTAGTTAAAATTGCAAATCATCAATTTGAAGATGAAATCTATGTTCTTCAAATTTGCTACATAATTAAATTGCAAATCATCTACTTTTAGAGCTTTATATGTGAGGATCTGGATCCATTCTTGGTTGTAGTGTTTCAATTTCAGTTCCGGTCTGACTCTAGACCGATTAAAAATCAAATCCTTTCCATCTCTCAAAGGGTTAGAGGCCTAAAGAGAAGCAATGGAAAGGAAAAAAAATGGCAGTAATATGTGTAAGAAGAGTAAAAAATGAAAATATTTCAGACACATACACGACTTTCCTTCATTTTCACAGCAAATATAACAAAGTTTGATACGGACAACCAACCAACCTCACAATATGGGAAAAATTGGGAATCAAAATTGTAGATGAAATAGGTTAAGCTTGAAGCAATGGCAATGTGAGAGACTCTGCACCATTCACCAACAACTATACATGAAAGAGACATGGAAAATGATCATTCAAAGTCCACCCTCACCTTATTACAATATATTTAAACAGAAACCTCAACCCTGCCATTTATTCCCTCCATCTTCAACTCCATCCGCCACCATACATGGAAGCCAGTGCAGGTCTTGTTGCCGGTTCTCATAACCGAAATGAGCTTGTTGTCATTCAAGGCCATGAAGAGGTACTTGAACTTTTGCCCTCTAAATTCTTAACTTGCATGCAATAGACATGCAATAAACTGGGATCAAACTGCTTCTAAATTGAAGGACTTATTAGTCCTCCTTTTGGGCAAATTCTGTAAATAGGGGCTCGTCTTGCTAGCTAATAGTGAAAGTAGTGGAAGTCAAGCAGTGAATGTTATATATGGACTGCTGGAATAACTCATTAAAACTATCAAAAACAAAACTTAACTTTGTGTTAAATGCTTGAAGTAATAACAAGTTGCGGCCACATATTTTATGCTCTAAAATGTTAATAAGAGTGGGGAAGCTTTGTTTTTTTTTCCAGAAATTGTGAAGCATATAGATTATAGAACTATTGATCTTCAATGCCAAAATCCTAGTAAATACGAAGCGACATGACTACGCACTAATGTTCCCTTTATGATATATGGGTTATATATGCAGCACAAAACATTGAAGGATTTGAGTGGACAAGTTTGTGAGATATGTGGGGATGAAGTAGGCCTTACAGTGGATGGGGATCTCTTTGTGGCTTGCAATGACTGTGGATTTCCAGTTTGCCGGCCGTGCTATGAGTATGAGAGAAGAGAAGGCACTAAACATTGCCCTCAATGCAAAACTAGATACAAGCGACTCAAAGGTATGAAAATCATTACACATGGACTATCTACTTAATCTGCAAAGAAAATATGTGTTAAACTTGAAAGTCAATTATATAAGATCAACCATATAAAATGAGTAATTAAAACTTTATAAGTTGGTTCTTATAGTTAAGCTTGATCAATGTGAGGCATTATAGAGTTTTAAACTGACATCGTATTGTTTTCATTGTTTTGATCGACACACAAAAAGGGAGCCCTAGGGTGGAGGGAGATGATGACGAGGAAGATGACGATGATATTGAGCATGAGTTTAAGATAGATGATGAGAAAAATGAGAACAGAAGAATAGTAGAAACCATACTTCATGGAAAGATGAGCTATGGAAGAGGAGGAGAAGTAGTTGAAGATGCTTCTTCTAAGTACCCACATGTCATTGCTGGCGTTCGTTCCCGCCCGGTAACTCTCAGAAATTAAATAAACAGTATATGCATGTCTGTGTGTGAGAGAGAGATAGATCTCACTATATGATATGATACTTCAATTTCATATCTGGTTCTGTTAAGGTAAGATGTAACTATCTAAGTAATATGGATGCAGGTGAGTGGTGAATTCCCAATCTCAATTCATTCTAATGGAGATCAGATGGGATTATCTCTTCATAAAAGAATCCATCCCTACCCAGTAATGGAGCCTGCAGAAAATGTAAGATGGGAAGAAAGAATGGATGATTGGAAATTACAGATGCAAGGAAACATGGGACATGAACACGACGACTTTGCTGATCCTGAAATGGCCATGTTAGTATGAATCATTTGTAAACAAACAGACAAAAAAGATGTCTTTACGAGTTCACCCGGTAATTGTTGGGATCATTTATTGCAACCCCACACCTCACCAACTAACACATACGTCGAAATAGGTTCTAACCTTAAAACCAATTGGCAATAAGAGTAACCTACAAAGCTTTATATGTTAGACTTGGCAGCTTAGATTTTCAATGTAGGAGTGATTAGGTTTGCACAGACTAAAATTTGATTCCCACCTTCATGAGATTTTTTTGTAACTTACTTCAGTCAGATGGGATGCCAGACAAAGGAAACACTTTACACACATCCCCTTGAAGCTGATTAATTTCCTTCGTAAGTCGTAACAGACACTTTCTAAATGGTTTAATGCAATCTTTAAATATGATTTTTTATACAGAGTCGATGAGGCAAGACAACCATTATCAAGGAAGGTACCAATTGCATCAAGCAAGATAAACCCTTACCGTATGGTAATTGTGGCAAGGCTGGTTATTGTAGCTCTCTTCCTCCGTTATCGAATCCTCAACCCTGTTCATGATGCCATTGGTCTCTGGCTAACTTCCATCATCTGTGAGATCTGGTTTGCCTTCTCATGGATTCTAGATCAGTTCCCCAAATGGTTCCCCATTGACCGCGAAACTTACCTTGAACGCCTCTCTCTCAGGTCACTTTTTCTCAAGTTACACAAACTTACACACATCTCATAAAATTCATAATTGGAGCAAGGTCACTTAAATGAATCTAATACATTTGTCAGTATAATCTAAAACCTTTTAAATTTAGAATAATACTAGGGAGACACTAAAGATGGTCATTGGACATTATAAAGAGAGATTCCTATCTGGCACACATTATAAACCCTATAATTCCACTATGAGGTCTCCCAAGCATTACTCATTAATTTATCAAGTCTCTCTTTAGTAATTCACGGTGAGACTGAACATTATAAATTGGCATTTGGATGATTGAATTTTGTGACACATCTCGATATGAAGGTACGAGAGGGAAGGAGAGCCAAACATGTTATCCCCGGTGGATATCTTTGTGAGTACGGTGGATCCATTGAAGGAACCTCCACTTGTTACAGCTAACACAGTTCTCTCTATATTAGCAATGGACTACCCAGTTGAAAAAGTCTCATGTTATATATCTGATGATGGAGCTTCTAATTGCACATTTGAAGCACTCTCAGAGACTGCTGAATTTTCCCGGAAATGGGTTCCTTTTTGCAAAAAGTTTGATATAGAGCCTCGAGCCCCAGAGATGTATTTTTCTCAGAAAATCGATTTTCTAAAGGATAAAGTTCAACCAACATTCGTAAAAGATAGACGTGCAATGAAGGTATGTTGGATAAAATATTAGCTTCTTTACTCTACCAAAAAAACAAGTCATGTTTGTTTTTTTTGGATGAAAAACAAGTCATGTTTGTAATGCTACAAAAGCACAACCCTTTTTTAGATAAGTGTTCTTTCTAATTCAACTATTAAGGACCTGTTCACTAATGGTTATATGACATAAATTACTGGATCCACTACATTTTGCGAAAGGAAAAACATTTAGTAACATCTCTTTCAGTTAAATACGTAAATCAAAATCTCTCTAGTCAGCTGATAAGCATAATAAGCAAGATTAGCTACCCAACAGGGCCTAAATAGTAAATTTCTTCTTCTGGAATGATAGAGAGAGTATGAGGAGTTCAAGGTTAGAATCAATGCAATGGTGGCAAAAGCAGCAAAAGTTCCTCAAGGAGGATGGATCATGCCAGATGGAACACCATGGCCAGGGAATAATACCAAAGACCATCCTGGAATGATCCAAGTGTTTCTTGGCCAGAATGGAGGAACTGATGTAGACGGAAATGAACTGCCACGCTTAGTGTATGTATCTCGTGAGAAGAGGCCTGGCTTCAACCATCACAAGAAAGCCGGTGCCATGAATTCCCTGGTACATGCAGAACTATTTGTACTTTTGTTTCACTGAATGAAAAACCAAAACATCTGTCAGACTGCATAAGATCTTTACAGGTTCGTGTCTCGGGAGTTCTTACCAATGCACCACTCATGCTTAACTTGGACTGCGACCATTATATAAACAACAGCAAAGCTGTGAGAGAGGCAATGTGTTTCTTGATGGACCCCACGATTGGACGGAAAATCTGCTATGTCCAGTTTCCTCAAAGATTTGATGGTATAGACAGGCATGACAGATATGCAAACAGAAACACTGTCTTCTTTGATGTAAGAGATGCAAATTCCATTCATTGTTGTTTTACTTAAAATTACCTAAGGGTGCATTTGAATCTCAGGAAAATGACAGGGAAAGATAATGGAGGGAAAATAGACGGGAAACTGGAATGAAAGGAAAACATGCGAAAAAGTTAGAAATTTGTTCAAACTGAATAAATTAGTTTTACACATTTTTTCACTTTTATTTATTTATTTATTCATAATATATGTTAATATGAAAATTAAGAAGTATAAAAATAAGAAAGAATTTAAAGAATTGAATCAAAGTTATTTTCAAACCAAACTATTTTCTGTAGCACTTAATCCCTTATCCTACCAATTTCTGCATTCCAAACATGGCCTAACTGTTTCTAATTCATGGCCAGATTAACATGAAAGGTTTAGATGGAATACAAGGTCCTGTATATGTTGGGACAGGGTGTGTATTTAGACGACAAGCTTTGTATGGATATGATCCACCAAAACGCGTTAAGCGTCCAAAAATGGTAACTTGTGACTGTTGCCCATGTTTTGGACGCCGGAGGAAGCTTGAGAAGTATACTAAGCGTGGAGACGCTGCAAACGTTGAAGGTTTTTTTAAAAATACTCTAGCATTCCATATTTTCATGCTTGGATTTTTTTCTACGCATGAAACAAAGGAAAATTCTTGACCCACAAAAATGAAAAAGCATAAAACTGTTTCAGAAATAAAACTTCATCATGTCAAACACATGAATCTTTCCATGATTTTTTAACTTGCCAGACAGAAAATTGTAGGGTAATTCTACGTAGTATTTTACTGTAAACTTCATTAATTTATTTCTAAGCAATTCCCAATTGTTCATGGTCAGGATTTGATGATGATAAAGAGGTAATTATGTCAGAGATGAACTTTGAGAATAAATTTGGGCAATCAGCAATCTTTGTGACTTCAACTTTAATGGTTGATGGTGGTGTACCACCTTCATCAAGCCCAGCAGCTTTACTCAAGGAAGCCATTCATGTAATCAGCTGTGGCTATGAAGACAAAACAGAATGGGGAACTGAGGTAACAAAGAAACAGTCTATTCTATGTTCTACTTGAACATGTGTTATTTCTCCATTAACAGTCCTAGGGTGTATGAAGGATGACATATTTTCACAGATTAAGTTCTTTTTTATACAAAACAAAAATACGTTTACTTTAAAAAGAAGCTTCTGGACAGGAAATGAGGAAAGTACTTTTACATATACTATGGCTTCGAGTTGACTTATTTTCAAAGAATAAATGCTTTATAGAGTTAGAAGTACTTTTACTTCAAAAGAAGCATTTGGCAGGAAAGTGAAGTGCTTTTAACGTTAATAGTTCCTTTAATGTTTATTTAAGAAATCAATACATTCATGTGTTTTCAAATAAGCACTTAGACGATAAGTAACCTCAAACAGTACTGACACTTCAGGTTGGAGATTTTTTAGGCCAAAAAAAAAATTCAGACGTTTAATGAAAAAGCACTTTTTGTTATTATAACTAATAAGCACTTATAGCAAGAGTCCTCCCAAACAGGATCACATTTCAGGCTAGAAAATAACTACTGGTATGTTTACACAGTTCAGTAAATCATGTGTGTTGCTTAAAATATTTCATCTTCAACTTCTTTCCAACAATTTAAGTGTAAGTATGAAAAATAGAGTAAAGCTCATATTAGGGATTGTTTCCTAATGGCTGCAAAAAAACAGTTAGGGTGGATTTATGGCTCAATCACAGAGGATATCTTGACTGGTTTCAAGATGCATTGTCGGGGTTGGAGGTCGGTCTACTGCATGCCAAAGCTAGCTGCCTTCAAAGGTTCGGCTCCCATCAACCTGTCAGACCGTCTGAACCAGGTGCTCCGTTGGGCTCTTGGCTCGGTTGAGATCTTTTTCAGCCGACACTGCCCGGTTTGGTATGGTCACAAGGGAGGAAAGCTAAAGTTTCTTGAGAGATTTTCATATATTAACACGACTATATATCCTTTCACTTCCATTCCTCTCCTTGCCTACTGCACCCTCCCAGCCATCTGCTTACTCACAGGAAAGTTCATAATGCCGGAGGTAAAAACAACTTCCAAATTTTACACTACTTGGCACTTGGAATCCTCTATTCTAAAACTGCATTATATGACTTGGTAAAGGTATCCCAACTGTAGGATTGTTGCCCCATGCATTGGATATTTTTACCTGACACTTCACGAAGAAAGCTAATCTAAAAGCTAAGTATCAGCCTAAAAACAATTTAAAGCTGACTAGGTCGTCCTTCAAAGCCTAAGTTATAAGTTGAATAAACATGGAAATAATCCAACAGTTGGACTACCAAAAGGAAACAACACGTGTTTACAGACATCCTTTAGCCAAATAAGTAAACCAAAAGCTACATAAAGCTACTTAGGGTATGTTTGCAAAAAAATCGAAAACAAATTATTTTCAGCTTTTGGCTTAAAAAAGCTAAAGTGTTTTCAAGTGACAACTTCTGCTTAAATTAAACACTTAAAAGCTGAAAGCTAGAAACTGCTTTTTACTTTTTCTATTACACAAAAAGCACATATTTTACGTAACACTACCAACTTTTACTTTTCAAAATCAATTTCTTCTCAGACACTACCAACTTTTACTATTAAGCACTTTTTCCAAAATCACTTTAAAACATGTTCAAGAGGCTATTTAGTTTTTCCTTATCAACCTTTTATCACTCAGTTTCTCACCAAAAATTACAGGCCGACAATAAAAAGTAAGCATGAGTTTTCTTTTTGCGGAAATTGGTACAATCAGCTAAAAGCCTAAAACATTAACAATTCCTACAGATTCAGTCATTTTAGATCTTACCAAAGATGTTCCTATTATGCTTATTCTGTTCACACTAGGCTCTACCAAACGGAGCCCCAGTAAGCTCATATCATCAGTGGCTAATGAAAAGAGTAACCTTTATTTGTTGAATCATGCAGATAAGCACCCTTGCAAGTTTATTCTTCATAGCTCTCTTTCTCTCGATCTTCGCAACGGGCATTCTTGAGCTGAGATGGAGTGGGGTTAGCATAGAGGAATGGTGGAGAAATGAGCAATTCTGGGTCATTGGAGGGATATCAGCCCACCTCTTTGCGGTTATCCAGGGACTCCTGAAGGTTTTGGCAGGAATAGACACCAATTTCACTGTCACTTCAAAGGCAACCGATGATGAGGACTTTGGAGAGCTATATGCCTTTAAATGGACAACGCTCCTAATCCCGCCAACAACTATTCTGATAATCAACTTAGTAGGGGTAGTGGCCGGGATCTCTGATGCCATAAACAATGGTTACCAATCATGGGGTCCCCTTTTTGGGAAACTGTTCTTTGCTTTTTGGGTCATTGTCCATTTGTACCCTTTCCTGAAAGGTCTCATGGGACGGCAGAACAGGACACCAACCATTGTGGTCATATGGTCAATTCTGTTGGCTTCCATCTTTAGCTTGCTTTGGGTTAGGATTGATCCTTTTGTGCTTAAAACCAAGGGGCCTGATGTCAAGCAATGTGGAATCAACTGCTGATAGCCCTCCTCCTTAGTGATCCATTCTAGGGGTGCACATCAGCATTTGATGTGCCAAAGATGAGCCATGTTAATGCAGACGTATAAGAAAGAGTGATTAAATAATATATTTTTGGATATCTTGTTTAGTGTAAAATTTATACTCAATTTTGGATGTGTTAAGGCCTTGCTAAGTAGGTCTTGAGTTATTCAAAATCGGACAAAATATCATTTCAAAAGACATGAACTCACTTAATTCCTGCGAATTGGCCACAGTCATTGTATATCCATATATGGAAGTTTTGTTATTCCTACCATTTCAGGAACTGAAGATCGGGGAGAACTTCTTTACATCTAAAGAAGACATTCCAAATGTGGCCTAAATGTATGAATGCAGTTAAGTATCTGATGGTTTCCAGGAAAACGTTTACTCTGACGTTTTCTGGGCTCTCATGTGCTTGGCACAGGAAGACACTTTCCTGTAGTGGTCATAGCGGTTTTCCTCTAGGCCAAATATTATACGGAGTATTACACACTCAAGTTATTCTCCAATAACACATTTCTTTGGTCAAGCATTTTCCGCAGCAAGTTATATTTCAAGTTACTTTCCTGCAATCAAGTGTGTACAAAAGATACAATACCCTGGCATCACATTCCATGGTGTCTTTTACGTAACCTAAGAATTTTGGTGGTATGTGCTATCAATGAATGTGAACAAAATGAACTATGAAGCCATCTCATGAGATCTCACATTACATTGGTGAGAACCAAACAACAAAACAAAGTGAGCCCCGAACACTCACTGATGAACTTTGCACAAAATAATTTCCATTACAGCGACAAAGGTTACAACCAATGGTCGAGGCAAGTTGATAAATACCTGACACTTCCTCATACAAAAGTCTTGAACTAGTCTTGACTTCAATTTAGAGATCCTCCATGGTTTTCAGTACTTTGCAACTCCAACACTTTGTCCCTTTCCAAAAATGGTGTCTAGGTTGCCCTCATAGAGACCTAAACTCTTTGCCAAAGAGAAACCAGCTTGCATACCATCAACAGCAGCACTCACTATCCCGCCTGCATAGCCCGCTCCCTCCCCCACAGGATACAGCCCTCTCAAAGACATACATTCAAAAGTATTTGTTGTCCGGGAGATTTGAATAGGAGAGCTAGTTCTGGTCTGAAGCAATAAACAAAGAAAGCCAGCAACAATTAACCATACAACCTAAAGTAACCATACAGTATTAGGGTGTTGAGTACAACCACTGATCACCTCTCTCTTAAAAAAGGATCATTACTACTATCTGATCTTAATTGCATACTAAAGGATTCATGCTGACAAGCATAAATGATCACAGATAGAAAAGGCATACCTCAACCCCATGAAGAAGGGCACTGCTGGAAATAAATCCTGGTAACTGAACCACAAGTTCAGGAAAAGTATCAATAAATGCAAGTTAAGCTGCAACCCCTACTTTCGAAACTAAACCCTTTTTATTTTTCTTGTAAGCTATGTTTGGGACATGGAAAATAGTAAGGAAAGAGAAAAAACACCAAGGAAAATGTTTTTTTAATGTTTGGTTGTACTATGGAAATGAAGAAAGCATTTGGTTAAAATATTGATTTTTTACATATATTTAAATTTTTAGTATTTATTTTAGACATAAATGAGTAAAAAGAATTTTGGTAAAGTCTACGATTGATCTATTGAGTTTGAATTAAATTTTTATTTTCTCCTACATTTTCTTTCATTCCAAGCTTTCCATATTTTCCTTCCTCTTTATTACCTTTCCCTGATATTTTGAGGGTTCCAAAAAGAACATTAAGAGAAGAACTGTGAGGCTGATTTTATTTTCTCCTTGCTCAATATGTCTCAAACATATAATTTCTTCTTTTCAATAGGCAGTCCAAAAGCAATTTGGAAGATTAATTTGGGGTGGAGCGAGCATTGAATCTTATAGCTTTACTTAAATAGAAATGATAGGAAAATGGGGAGAATAAACTAAGACCTCTTTGTCAAACATCAAAATTGACTTTTGCAAAGCTTCAGTGATATGGCTTGGGAATAATTCATGGAGATTTGCTGCTTTTACTCCCAAACGATAACTTGATGATGGTAGTGATGCTACTGCAAAAACTAATAATAATAAATTTTAAAAAACATTTAACAAATGCTAAAAAGCTAATGAGATACAACAAAAGAACCGACCTGATGATTTGTTGCCAAGAAAATCAGTCACTCTTTGAACAGGTACGACAAAATCCCCCCCGCCCATGAGAGCAGCCTTCTGTTCAAATGTTCTCTGAAAGTCACCATAAATAAATGTAAATTTTATGCAGGGATTAATATGAGGGATAATGCAATCATACATCGTTACTTATTCTCTACATTGCACAGAAACTGCGGGAAACACGAGGAAACGTGAAACGTCATATTCTAATAGAAAACAAGTGTTTCTGAACCGCAAGCATACTGCTTCACAAGAGTTTCCGCACATCATGCCTTTTTCCAATTATTAGACATTTTTGGAAAGTGTGACAATGAATTTCAAACTACATTTGTGTTCTATAAGTGATAATTCTTACTTTAAATGTTACTGCAAACAACACCAAGATCTTCCATAAAAGTAAAACCTCTACGCAAAATGCTACTAAAAAAGAGTGGTCAAGGTGCTTCAAATGAAAGATACCTGAAACTGAACTCCAGCAAGGGGACCATATAAACCTAAAGCTGAAAAATCATTTGGCGAAACAGTGACGACGAGTGCAGCATTTGCCCACTTAGATGATCTTCTAGAAAATGACATCCCGTTGATACATAGTTCTGAAGGCTTTGTACTGGTTAGAACAACCTGCCAAAACATTAACAAGTGAAGCCAGTGCGAATTCTCTGAATGTATGTTATGTATCCTTTATAAGCCTCTTAAGTCCCAAATAACAAATATTACATGGTATTCCTTCCGACCGAAAAAGTCTTTTATTAAGTACACTTTTTTATAATTTTGTTAAGCTACAATTTTGTACAAATTATCAGTTCTACTTGCACTTTGGAAAACTTAGTACACCATCGTCTTTACAAAACTTAAACTATCATCATCATCATCATCATCATCATCATCATCACCTCAGTGTCGCAAAGGCTTCCACCTACGGTGGGGTAAGGGGGGGGTCAGATGTACGCAATCTTACCCCTGAAGGAAAACATAGAGAGACTCTTTTTGGATGACCCATAGTGAAAATTGCATCAGAAATTGCATGGACTGATTGCTGCTTCATAATAAAGAAGCGCGGACAGTTCAGTGAACCATTTTGCTATATACCATTATATTCCCAAGCCAAAAATAGTGAGTTTTTGGCTCCACAAACTTAAACTATATTAAATGAAAATTAGGTTTTGTTGAAAGATGACTCTTTTTCTGGGACAGCTACACACATTGAACAGGACTCATTTATTTTTATTTGGGGGACCAATTATTTTTTTAGCAAAATGTTCACATGAGAGAGATACCAAACCAATGCTCAAATAAAATCCCAATTCACACATAATAAATGCATTATATATACCTGGCCACCAGGACACATACAAAATGAGTAACAATTACGCCCGATTGGTGAAGGAGATTGCAATCTGTTCGTATTCAAATAATCTGTGACCTTGTAATCAGCAACTGGAACTCTCCCACGTCCATTATTAACCTCTTCAGCTAATTCAGAATACTGTAGATTCCCTCAAATAGTGAAGTTTCCATATATGAAAATTAATGTGAGAGTTACTCCACACATGCTTCATAGCTATAAAAAAATGGATTAACATGTTGTGTTGCAACATACCTGTATAGCATTTATTAACTCTTGGGGGTGCTCCACACGTAATCCAATCTGTTGATTTCGAGGTTTGAAAGTTGAAGATTGATGAATCGAACAGTAACAATTTATGTTAAAAACCAGATATCTTATGGATTCAAATACTCAAATACTGTTCAATAACTTACGGAAAAATCTTTTTGACTAAGGTTCACATTGTGGGAAAGAAGCATTTCATATGTATCACGAGCAGAATGGCCAACTGCTAAAACCACTGCATCATAAACCAACTTTTGTTTGTCTATCGAATTAGAGACCTTCACTCCCACCACGAATCCATTCTCTACAAGTAGATCATCAACCCTTGTTCCAAACTTGATTGTAACCTAAGCATAATTTTTATTTATACAGAGAAAATAGTAATAAAATGAGGGGAGATAAATGGATGGATAGATAAATAAAAGTAGTACAAGCACTCACACCCAGTTCTTGAAGGTGACGACGAAAATTTTGAAGTAGCGGAACCAATTTATCAGTTCCAAGATGAGGCTTTCCATCAACCAATATTTTCTTTGGAGCTCCAAATCGAACTAATGTCTTCAAAACCTAAAATTATAGCACAACATTTAGGGATCACCAGAACAGCCAGCAGAAAAACTTAATTTTAATTTTTTTCAGGTTTTCCAGCAGCCACTTACTGCTAAAACAGAACTACTGTTTCTACCAATTCTAGTAACTAGCTTCCCGTCACTCCAAGTACCTGCACCACCCTGTCACCCATAAGTCTGTACTAAATACACAATGAAAAGTCAATTTACCAACTTCTTGATTGAACATTATATCAAGAAGATCAAAGCTAGTGTTCCAAGATATAACCTCCCCAAAGCAAAAATTGCTTTCTTCTTCTAACATCCTTCGAACTACTAGAGCACCAATATCACGTCCCCTCTTCTCAACCGCTTCCCCTCTTTCAAGTAAAGTGACATCCGCACCAAACTCGGCAAGCACCAGGGAAGCAAACAAGCCAGCCGGTCCACTTCCGACGACACCAATTTTTGGTTTTCTAATATTGGGCAACCTGCAAGAGTGTACTATCCCCATTATATCTTCAGAAACTCTGCTGTCAAGAATATGCTCCAAAAGCCCAGCTCTGGGCTCCAACTCAGAGATGAAGTCCCATGTACGAGGTTCTATACTTAGAAGTTTGCTGACGTCCATGTCTACAGTGTATATGAATTTTGGTTCCTTCTGTAACTGCAATTACAGCCACAAAATTATTTATTTAGTGAACGCACATGTTTGGCGGGTGGGGGGGGGGGGGTTGCTCCATTAGGGAGTACTTTTTTCTTGACATATTTTACAACAGGTTGAAGCATCAGAACACTGACAACACTAAATTGAGAAAATGATAAGTAATGAGAAAATAAACAAGGTTTCAATCCCCATGTTAGAAGTGACTGAAACTCTGAAAGTTTTAAACTTTAGAGCTATGTTAGGCAGGGAAGAAATCACACACAGTATCATCTGAATATAGTATTTTCATGTTTGGGTTATGTTGGAGAATAGAATTAAACTCAAATTTGATTTAAAAACATTAGTATTTAATCGAAATATAGAGAAAAAAATGAGTTTGCACAAATATCTTAAATAGAGTTATTGAGTTTGAACCATTACATAATTCCCTAGCATTTTCCGGGTTCCAAGAGGAACCCCTATCCACTTGAGACAATCAAAATCTATGCCCACAAGATAATGTTGTCCGATTTCCAACTTAAGCTCAAATAATTTGATTAGAAATGAAAAATGCACTCGAATGTTTGAGCATAATAAGATGGTATACACATACGGAGTATAACAAACCTTCCGGGCATCAAAAGATTTTCTAACAACAGTGAATGCTTCCGGAGGCAACATGGAAGCAACCTACAGCATAAAAATGGGCATTCATTCAATAAGCAATCAATCAAATGTAAATGCTCAGAAGTAAGAATGCAATGAAGGTTACAAGAGACTAAGACATTACAGGGAATTCAAGAACTTTGGCTATTTCTTGAAGCAAAGCATCGGAAATGTAGATAAAATCTTTGCCCGGGTCTGAAAGAGCGGAGACGCCAAGATTGGAAAGCCTCCAAATCCCTTCAAACTTTTTTTCCAGGTCAAGCTCAGTCTTATGCTGAAGCTTTAGCTTCTTTTTCTCCGAGGGATACCTCAATTTTCCGACTCTTTTGGTCCTCCTTGCGCATGTTATGAACAGAGGTTTTGGAGGCGAAAGGTAGGATTTGTACTTGGGGAAATGGAATTTAGCGTTGTTGGGATACAAAAACGAAGAATAGAGAATGGACATAGTAGCGCCTGAGTTTCAAGACGCAATGGGGGAGCAGGAGTGCAATTTTGGGGGAGCAGGGTGAACGGTGAACAATTGAACATAACCCCTCCCTATTTGCTTGCCATGTGGCAAAAAAAGAAATGAAATGCCAAATGACAACATTTGAACTATGGGGGTGATGTTCACCCTCCAAGGAGGGGTGAACAAAATTGCACTCGGGGAGCAGCAGTGCTGACCATGGATAATAAGGGGCGTTTGGAACTCATTTTGCCTCTGCTCCTGTTTTCAGCAGAATCCAAATCAGTTCTCGGGTCTCACGACTTCTAAAAAAACTGATTCTATGATTGAATTAGAGCACTATAATCATTTTTGCATTTTCACTCAAACACTCCAACTTATGTTTCTCCTTCCTCAGAGAGCAGAAGCAGTTTTAAAATCAGATCCAAACACCCCCTAAATTAAGAATGAGGCTTTCCAAAAAACAAAGTGAGCAAGCCAACCTCATCTGCTTTTCACTTTGAAGTTTAATACTCTTCTGTCTAGCTAAGATTTTCTCAACCATTATTCACTTGATAAACACAAATCACTCTTAATCGCTTACTTTATTTATCAAATTTTTATCAAATTTGATTCTGGTTTTTGCGACTTTGTGAAGTTTTTTATTGTAGTTTCTGAATATGTAAATTTTAATTTCTAAAAATAATTTGAGTGCGGACATGAATTCGTTTGTTTTATCGTCGGTCAAACATTGTAAACCGAATTGTCCCAAACATAGTGCGACGGAGGTAGTATGAAGGCTTCCAATAAAATCTCTCCATTCTGCAATAGTGTCCTACTAGAAAGTACTACCTTTGTCCCTTAAAACTTTGCCAAAGTTGACCGGCACGGCAAATAATAAAATAAAAACTGTGTGATTGAAGTTTGTGCAGAGGAGAGAGAAATAACAGAAACCACAAAATAATTGATTAAAAGGGAAAGTGACAAAATTTTTTGGGACGTACCAAAAAGGAAAGATGACAAAAGTTTTAAGGGACGGGGGAAGTATAAAACATTAGAATAATATAGTTTGGATAGAGTTTTGTATTCAAATGAAAAAGCAGGAAAGCGAAAATATTAAAAAAGGTAATTAAGTGATTGGAGGATCAAGAAAAAGTAAGAAAATTAAAATATTAAGAAAAGTGATTAAATGAGTGGAGAGGGGAATTAAATCTACAAAGATAAAGGTGGTGTTTGTTTTTCGGTGTGTCTAGGTTATAAAAAAATAGCGGTTTGATGCCAACCGCCGATATCCAAGCAGACTCAAAGTATATTGCAAAAAGAAAAAAATAGAAAATAAAACTGTGGGCATGAAAATACTTTTGCAAGATAAACTTATTAAAATGGAAAAAGTGAGCAAATAATAAAAAAACTTTGTAAACAAGAACATGTGTCATGTACTACGTAATAAACAAGGGAGAGAGCACTTACTCACACAGAATTGATGGAAATTAGTCAATTACTCGACACAAGTTATTCTGTTAATCTTTCAAGTTTGAAGATGGAGAATCACATTTTTACAAGTCCGTTTAAACTTTTGGTATATATTGGGTCCGGTCGTGTTACAGAGAGGTCAATCTATGTAAAATTAGGTCACAAAAAACTTATGTTTATGTGAAAAATCTATTTGAAAAACATGCAAATTGATCATATAACTATTGTGACATCGATTTGTGTGCCTGTATATGTATTTTACACATATGTCAATATTGTGTGCATGAATGTCAATGTCCGCAACCGACATCATGTATTTAGTTGCCTATGGCGACTCCTTTTATTGGTAAAATAAAATCGTATAATCTAAGTGCATAGGTGTGTACTTCAATTTTTATTATTTAATGTTGTTCTTTCTTTTTTCTTTGCAAGAAAATAGGTTACTTGGCATTAATCAAATCAAAATCCAGAACATCATGAATACAATTTGGGGGAATACCCAACCAAATGCGACCACTAGACAGAGAACTAGCTACTCTAGTCAATGCATGTGCAACTTTGTTCGCTGATCGTCTAACAAAAGTAAACGAAATATTAGAAAACTTTTGACTAATATGACGAATATCCTTGGCAAAAATACCAATTGCAGACACACTTGACCCATTCTGAATCTCCGAGATAGCTTGAGAAGCATCAGATTCGACCTCTATGAAATCTCACCCCTGATCCAGCTCAGAGCTTCCCGAATGCTCAATAATTCCGCCTCGAGAGATGAGCAGCCGCTCAATTATTTAATGTTGTTCTTATGACATGAGAATGCACATTAGTTTTAGCACTAGCTGTGAGGAACGTAGAGGATGAAGAGGAATGTAGAGGCCAACTCTACAAATTTTGTGAATATGGTCATGATTCATGAATCCCTTGGGGGTCCTTCATTATGGTCACGGATAATAATAGAATGTCCCACCAGCAATATGTGCCCCATTCTCTTGACTACGAAAATGGGAAAGACATTCAAGGGAGAAGAAAGCTTTCAGTCATGACATGAAGCAAATAAGACGAAGTGCTCAAAAATCCCACAAAACTTGAAAAATCCAAAGAAACTAAACGCACAATAGTGAACTTGACATGTTTCCTTGGAATTCAGAAGCCTAGCAAAGCCCAACTCAATGGATTACTTCAACGAATTGATGACTTTGCCATGCTTCATAAAGTGATGGGTTGCTTAATAATTAATTATCTATTGACCAGACGATCAAACTTGAAAGACAGGACGTCTAGATTTGGTCAAGATGTTGTGAGGGAGACCAACAATAGGGTCCAGACAGTAAAACACAACAATTATATATCAACATCATCTAACTTGTAGCATTTACTACCTTAAATATCTTATACGTAGTAATAGATGTGATTAAGGGGTGGCATTTGGCTGCCACTGTATAACAACATCATCTAACTTGTAGCATTTACTACCTTAAATATCTTATGTGTTGTAATAGATGTGATTAAGGGGTGGCATTTGGCTCCCACTATATAGGCTAACTCCAAATAGTTCTGTGGATCTGTTCACCTTTTCTAAGGTAATAGTAGATCGAATTGATATTATTAAGCCTTTGAATTCCTCAAGCACTCTTAATCCATTTAGTGTCTCAAATTATCTATTAAAGGGGTTTATTTTGACTCAAGTCTCGACCCTCGTAAAATACCCAACAAGCTCCACCACTTTTGTTTTTTTTAAAGAAAGATGATTTTATTGATTGAAAAGGGTACAATACAGTACAAGAAAGAAGTGAAAAAAGAAGAAGAGAAAAAGAAGAAAAAACAGCAAAGAAAAATTAAAAAGAGAAGAAATGTGAAACTAATCCCAAGGGAAATCTCTGGATTGAGACCTGGTCTTCATGTTGTGGCGCCTTTTGTTTTTTAGAGATTTCCTATAAATTTTAAGTTGTGTGTTCAGATTGTCTGTTGGTAGACAATTTTTCGAGTTTACCAAAATTGCTTTGCGGCAAATCGCTCTGTTGAATTTCGAGTTTCTGATTTCTTCCGGGTATGAGATTGGAGGTCGGCGGTCGCTTTCGGTTCCATGTTCCAAAAAAACATCTGTGAAGAAAGAGTCGTCAGAATGCTCAAAACTGTCGGAGGCGTCTGAGTATGCCTGGATTAGTGGTAGCATTTTGACCTTCAGTTGCATAAAAAAAATGTTTGTTCATATTTGGAACATCAATAGTTATCTTCGCCTCTTCGGTACATTTGAATTACTATAGACTCCAATGAAACTATGAAATTGTCAAAAAGCGCACTATTGTGAAGTACTCCGTAGTATTTAAATTATGATCGTAGTATTTCAATTGCGTACTTAATTACAAATGTATCAAATGCCTAAGAACTTCCTCATAATGAGAAGTGCACTATTCTGGACTCTGAAGTAGTATGAAAGAGAGATTTTACGTACGACATGCTTCCATCAATTTTATGTACATATTTTACGCACAAGCTTCCATCAATTAACTTTGTGAATATATCCCTTTGAATCCATTATTATGCCTAAATGAATAACCATTACCGCCCTCACCACACACGATCACATTCGGGTGGAAATGTTGGCATCATGATATATTTGTATGTACTTGTGACTGGTAGCTAGTTGTGAACTTGGTCATCGTTCTCGAAATAAGATTAGGCCTATGAGTTATGGTTCCAGAGCTGAAAATCACGATACCAAGAAAATCAAGAACGCAATTCCTAAATAAATATCCTAAAAATAAAAATAAAACTATATGACATGTATTTTTATTAAATGTATATATATATATATATATGTATATATATATATATATACACACAAGCATGTTCAGGTCCGAACGTTCGGACGGGAGCCTCCGTCCGAACACCGCCGTTTGGGACTGTTTCCGGTGGAATTTTTTGATAAAATTTTTTAAGCATGTTCCTCATCAAGTCTAGTTTGTCCATACCAAATTTCAGCTCAAAAATCGATCGGGAAGGCATTCAAATCATTTTTTGAAGTTGACTGCATTTTTATATGAATATTTTGACGCAGTCAACTGCAAAAAATGATTTGAATGCCTTCCCGGTCGAATTTTGAACTGAAATTTGGTATGGACAAACTAGACTTGATGAGGAATATGCTCAAAAAAATTCATCAAAACATTCCACCGGGAAATGCCCCAAATGTCCATGTTCGGACGGCGTTCAGACCGGGGACTGACTGGACAAGATCATTCCTCTCTCTCTCTCTCTCTCTCTCTCTCTATATATATATATATATATATATATATATATATATATATATATATATATATATATATATATATATATATACGGAAAAGATCCTGTCCAGCCGGAGGGACAGGATCCTCCGTCCGGCCGCCGCCGTTTGGGGCGGTTCCCGGTGGAGTTTTTTGATGAATATTTTATGGAATGTTCCTCATTAAGTCTAGTTTATCCACAAAAAATTTCAGCTAAAAATTCGATCGGGAAGGCAGTCAAATAAGTTTTTGAAACATAACTGCGTTTTATATGTTTAAGTTGGAGCAGTTATCTTCAAAAAATTATTTGACTGCCTTCCCGATCGAATTTTTAGCTGAAATTTTTTGTGGA